CTGACCAACACGTGGTCCCTTCCAGCCAGGTCCTTGATGAGCGAATAGAGCGCGACGCGGTAGACTCTCAGATGCCATGCGTACGACGTGACCGAGCCATCTCAACTGACGCAGCAAAACCAATTTGTCGAAGGGGACACTCCTATTCCCCAAGATGCGACGTCGAAGGTCACTACTGTTAACTCGATGCTGCCACCGAACACAGGCGCATTTCCTTAGGCAACCGTTGTTGAAGGCAGAAAGACGACGCATGTCTTCCACGCGAATTGACCAGGATTCGCTCAATCACAAAAACAGATGTACTGTAAACGCGGCCCTTTACCGTGAATGAGACGTCGCGATGACGCCGCAAGTGCCTCAGATTGACAAATGCTTATCAGACTTTAGCGATGCGAAGAGAAACTTCCTTGCTGATAGTGCCGTCAGCAAAAACGGCTCCTAAGGTAGACGAAACTATCTACCTGTTCAACTTGCGCACCTTCTAGATTGAGCATGGGAGCAGATGTAGGCTTGGAGCAGCAATTTACACTTCGATGGGGCGAATCTCATGTCAAAGTTAGATGCTTCAACCGCCAAACTATGCAAAATGAGTTGCATACCAAGTAAGGCGATATCATCAATATAATCTAAGTCGGTTGCACGCTCACCCGTTAGAAGCTCTAGGCCAAAATGTTAGAAACTTTCTAGAGCACTCGCCAGAACGTCTTCGATTGCGAAGTTGGAGAGGAATGGGGACATAGGGCAGCCATGTCGCACACCGCTATTGACAGCGAATCGCGAGGGAATCTTGCCATAGACCCTCACTCTGCCGGAGGTATGAAGTCAAAGTGCACGTAAGATGGCGATATACTTTTCTTTCACCCCGTTCTCTAGCAAGCAACGCCATAAAGCAGATCGATCAACGGAGTCACGTATATCTAGCATTGCAACAATAGTGGGCACGTGATAAATGTGACGATGTTCGAGGAGTTGGCGAAGCGTGAAGATTTGATCCACGCATTCGCGGCCGGGACGAAAATCAGCTTGTTCTTCACAGTAGGATGATTTACGTATTGGAGATAGTTTGCGGAGCAGGATGTATGCCAATAGCTTGGAGGCAACGGAAATAAGACTAATCCTACGATGATTTACACATGAAGTGCGAGTGCCTTTCTAGAGAATCGGAACAATAACTGATACGCCACAAGAAGAAGGTACTTTCTCTTCATGCCAGATTTTTGCGAACAACGAGGTCAGCTGGTTAATAACCGCCACGCCGCCGTATCTGAACAGCTCCGGAGAAAGTCAACCTGAGTCGGCAGACTTGAGCCGCATCAAGCGTCGAATCTCGAGGCAGACTTCCTCTCCACTGAGTGGATTCATTTCCACGAACCAGGGTGGACAACAAGGTCTACTGCAGGTGCTGATGGACGGTGGAGGCCAATTGAATTGCGAGTGAAAGTGCTCGGCCCAGCGGTCCAAACGTCTCTGTTGGTTGGTGATCGGAGACTCATCCACCTCGCAAATAACGTCACTGACATCAGGCTTCCTCAGGCCAGTGGATCGAATGAGTTGGAAAAGCTTGCGATTGTTGCCGGAAGGGCAGCGGTCTCCACCTCTAAAGCACGCTCAGACCACCATGCCTCGCGGTCCTTGCGTGGGCTTTGTTTGAGCAGCTGGTTAGCAGAAGGGCGCAGCTCGTTCAATTTGCCTCTGACGGGAAATCTTGGCGGCGGTCGAACAGCTCCAGGGAACGAGCAGAGATCCAAGCCTTTAAGGGGCGTCGAGCTAGCCTGCAACTTGACTGTCCGGAAATGGTCATCGCTTTCGGCATACAAGTCCAGTGGTGCTCTATGTCTTGAGGTGGATTGCAACTAAGTGCGTATGCCAGTGAAGACTGATAGCTCGCCTAGGCAGAGTAATCAGTTAATCAGCTTACATCAAACTTGCGGTGCTTCGTGTTTCGGGACCGTCCAAAACATGCAGACTTTTGCGCAGATCAATGCATGATCTGTGTCAAGGAAGGGGGATCAAAGGGACCTGCGGTCCAGCACGCTGCCACGCCATCTGAAGCTGATTGCAATGTGATCAATTTGAGACTACGGTTGTGTTGGCGAAAGGTGACGGCATGTTTCGGAACGCTTCTTCGTACGCCTGAAGTTAGTGCTCGAGAGAAGCAGATGGTTGTCTTCTCACAATCTAAGCCTCTTTCCGTTATCAGAGGGGTTCTCATCTAGCGCGTGGTGACCACCAAGGTGGCGTTCGTGTGGTAACAAGCGGCCGGCTCGTGAATTAAAATCCCCGGCAAGGAAATGACAACCAACGTTTTATCACCAGTCAAGAGCTGATGTGGCTCCATATAGAGTTGGAGTGTACGCGGCGATCACAAACAAGTTGCACCACTCCTCACGGCGCTTGTTCATTCTAATGTACCCCGAAGCCGAACTGCACACAATCGGCTCTTAATCGGGAACCAGTCCAGTAGTGCCGCCCCGGTCTTGCCACTTAGTGCTGTAACTTCACCAGCCAGACCCGCTGATGCTTCTTCTGGGTCCCCGGAAAGATGGTGATATCTGGCTTCCTGGTCATTGGAGGCTGTCAATGTAAGCACGGTGCTGGGGTCTTGCAATCGGGTTTCTGAACGGCAGCAGACGTCAATATCGATGGACTCTATAGTGTGCGCTAGACCGGCTTGCTGTCTAATCTGCATGAGTGTCCGAACGTTGAAGCACGCCAGACGGAACGAGGATCGGGGACAAAGGAGAGTCATAGATTGAACTCCGTGGTTCGCGGCGCAATCGGAAACGCAGCCAGGTTTTGAACACATGAATCGGGTAACGGAAAGTAAGGATTGTTTGCAAACCAACAATTGGCGTGTGATAAAGCCGCGTGAATATGAGAAGCAGAGACGGTTAATGATGAGCACGTTGTAGTACAGTCCATGTTTTTGTGAGAGGGCGTGATACCACCCGGTTGTTCAAGCCGAAGTAAGGAGTTGAGTTAGGGGACCACACCCTGAGCCTTTGGCTAAATAACCTACCCGAAAGGCAGCGGGGCGAATTCAGGGAATCGCTGACTGAATGTTCATTTCATACATCTTTTGTTTGGTAGATCATCAAACAGGGGCCCAACACTCCCCATGAAATCAGCACAATTGCTGGACTACAATGCCCCACCAAGGTGGAACACTGTCGCCGAACACTTCGCTGGAACGGGGTATACCCGAACCACCCAGCTGGTACTACGACGAGGTAGTTCGGTATGCCAACCTACTGGAATATCGCAGTAAGTGAATGAATTAAAATGTGGAACCATGATACAGGTGTAGTTAAGGAGATATGAGATTACAACATACGGTAACTCCTACAAATCTCACGTGAAAAGCTGCCACAAGTAATTCATCATGTCGACTTAAACCGCGTGTACATGAGAGCTTGCATGAAGCTTGAGAGGCACGCACCAGCATGATTAAATGTCGCAATTTATGCATGCCTTTATGCCACGTCATCGAATGAGTACCTTGCGGTTTCCCCAACGTTGTATAGAGACGGCGTATAACGCATGTCGAGAATGGCGATCAACGGGCATATGTACGTGACTTGGCCAACGTAAGCGGTTAGAATTTAAGAAGCCCTCCATAAATGCACCAGATTTCTTGCTAATAAACAACTGGTGGACTACAGCGCTGCTCAGAAGGTGCTCCCAGCAGATGTGAGTAATACTCTGTAAGCGCCGGCAGTCAAAGAGGATTAATCGTTTAATGTCTTCAGTGCGAACTTGCCACATCTCTGATACATACAGTAAGTCTGGTCTTATCACAGAGTTATACACCACATGTTGATATGCCACAAGTTGTGTGATATCGGAATTTGCAGACGGTGAAAGAAGAGGCAGTTTTATGCTGGAGTCCTGTAGATGAGTGTCACTGAAACAGTGAATGTCGCTAGTGAGCATATGTTATATGAGATCCAATCTGCCATAGTATCCGACCACTGAAAGTGACCATTCCGATTTGGAAATGGGATGCGACAAAAGGCTTCCTAGCGTACAACAAATCTGAACGCGGGTTCTAATTGTCTATCGTAGCGCGTAATCTGCTCACCACAGGCAAGTTGCCATGGAGGACCTGGAGGGAAAGAGCGTTGGCAAAGTCAGAGAAGTTGAATTTGACGTGAACTGGCTAGTACAGGGAAACGGCAGACAATAACACAGATATATTTAGCTAAGTGTTTTGTGTATTAAGCCACCTGGTTGTCCAGGACCAGAGAGTGTCCAAACGTAAGCTATCGCTGAAAAAAACTAGTGTTTAATATAAAGGGATTATTGCAGCATAATATGCTGTAGCTCCGTAAGAATTCGAAGCCGACGGCATGTTGATCACAATCAGAGCAGTTGTAGAAATCACATACGACGCTTCTTGGCAATCACCCGTAGGCGCCTGAGAAGAAAAGGTAAAACACACCTTGCCTTCGGTGGTTGTTTCATTGGCCCGAGTCATTAAGTCGAACCGCACATATGTTGCTGTTCAATGAAATCAGCTCGGGAAAAACTCTCTTCTTAAGTCTGCTAAGAGCTATCTCGATATCGATGTCATCGGAAGTGTGAAGTACGTTTGTCGCTGGAACTCTAACTCGATGGCACCAGACAGAAAATACGGAGAATCCGCGGGAGCGTTGTGTTAGTGAACGTCGTATGTTGACTGACCCGAGTAGTACAAAGCTGGGAGATGCAATGTAAACAGTGCCTTGGTTTGAAAGTTCACTTGGCTTCATGATAGTGCGGAATACGGAATCGTAATGGTTCGGTGAATGAAAAAAGTTTAGAAAAAACGGGAAAAAGAACAATGGTGCAAAGTCAAATAGCCTCTCCGGCTTTTCATTTGGGAAGACACTTGTTAGTTGGTTATCATAATTGCGCGATTGACGAGAGGGAAGATGCTCACGTCCTTTCCCCAGACAAGCCGGTGAGCTTAACTTCACCATACCTATCTCAATGCCCAATATGGGGTATAAAAAGAAGACAGACTTCGTATATTTATTTGAAGTAAACTGATTTCGACAGAGATGCTGGATAGACTGGGACTCAGGCTGCACCGGACAGCACCTGAAAAGAAAAACAGATGAGTTAGCAGAAGTAGCAGTATGGAACTTTAGAAGTGGTCACATGGAACTCGAAAAAGTACCCCCAAAAGACACAATAATGACACGCATATGCATATGTGCATGCGTAAAACAGTTAATTTGAGTAAACATTCAAGTCACCAGAACAATTTCAAGGCCCATCCCAAAAAATGTGGAAGGTAAAAGGAGAAACGATAGTAATGAAAGTTCCAAAGATCTGGAGAGTCACCGGAGGATCTTCGGATAAAACAGAGGTGAAATCTAGCATCTTTGGTACAGAAATGGAGACCATTAGGATGCTGAACAAATATGAATAACAGCATGTCTGGGCAACTAAGTTACAATAGAGTGGCACAACGCGCCGTCATTCAACCGAAGGAAAAAAATGCCACACAGCAGGTACAGGGGGCTTTGGTAGGATATACACAAGAAATTCGATATAAAAACATAAGAGCTGAAGATAAGATGTAAATGCATAGTAAACATTGGCAGCAAAGTTCCACAAAAGATAAGGTAAACAGAACAGCGAACCGAAGCAACTTGCCTGATCCGGAGATGAGTTGTCATACAGACAAGTGTATGAGGTTGCAACTGACTGCCAACGGGAACTTTGCAGTTGGATGCCAAAGAAAAAATGAGTACGTAACGATGAAGAAAGAATGCAGACGTGAACAGGAAACCGCAGTAAACGATAAAACAGAAGGTAGGCATCAGTGTCGGTAACGTGACTCCCGATAGCGATCAGAGCTTCCGTTTGCGCTGCCGCTGCCTTGTGCAGATCCAGATAACCCGGTTCCACTTGTGAGTTGCATGCCTGATTGATTGCCGTAGTAGCTAGCGACGCTGCTGGAAGTACGATCACGTGAGCGCCGGTGGCGATCATGACGATCATGGCGATCGCGTGATCGTGAGCGATTGTCTCGGTCGCGATGTCTTCTGCCACTTCCTCCGCCTACTGAAGAACCGTAGTTATCCATGCCACCTTCACTATCGCTGTCGCTGTAAGAACGACGACGTCGACGAGTGCTGCTTCTGGAACAGAAAACGTTGCGGCAGAGGAAACGTGTGCCTGAGCGCAGTTGTTTCATGGAGAGTAAAATTCCATTAACGAGGAAACATGGATAGAAAGGCGAATTGCCGAAACAGGCCACCCGAAAATTGGGAACACCAGCGCAAGTGCGTCGCCAGAGAGTAGAAGGAAAATCCGATAGTGGAAACTTTTAGCTGTACACTTTAGGTTGCCGAATAGCCTTAAGTGCCTTAGCAAGGCAAATAAGGACTAAAAGTACCATAAAAATTTACAACGAAGAGTACAAGCGAAAAACGTGGTACATACCAAATTGATCAACGATCAATAGAAGTAGGCAAAGAACTGCAGAAGCTGACGAGTACAAGACAGAACAGTCAGGCTTAAAAGATAACTGAAGATTAATGAAAGGCCGCAAGCAGGTCATTACAGCAACAGGAAGTAAATGGGAGGGAATCGTTGACAAGGGAAATTGACGAAAGCTCTGCATTGAGTTGTACAATTATTTCATTCTAACAATCTCGGGTCAATGTACATCAAGGGCGAACAGGAACAGTGGAGGAAAATGGGATAAAATGACGGTTGTGTAGACACGTCAAAGGGAACGGAGACGAAGTAAAGAGAAGGAATGAGAAAGACAATTCATCAATCAGTGCAGAAAAAGAAATAAAAGAAGGAAAGGCATCAGCAGCACAGCGGTACGCCGTACCGACGCGTCGCTGCCACACAACCACCACCGGTTGCACGTGGGCTAAGGGAACTGCGAGCGTCGCCATGTCCCTACACAGGCTCGAACCCGCGCCGTCAGATTACAAGACACGCTTGTTACCTTTGGGCCACGAACCGACATCTAATCAGTGCAGATTAGAAGGATTCACTAGACGCGCCTAATACTGAAAAGTTAACTGCTAACGATGGCAAACGTAGTTCATCGGCCGATGGCCAAGTAGTCTGCGTGTTTGGTTCGCAACCATAAGGTCACCGGTTCGAATCCGCGTAGAGGAGGGCGTTCTCGCGGTACACTCAGCCCGCGCGCGACTGGTGGTGGTCGCGCGGCAGTGGAGCGCCGTTACGGCGTACAGCTGATACATTATTAGTAGTAGTAGTAGTATTAGTATTAGTTTGCGGGATATGAATAAAAAGAAACGGTACACAGAAAAAAGGGGCATGATACGCTGGTGGTAATGACCGGTAAAGTGACTGCGATGTGGAAAAAGTAAAATAAAAATAAGCGAATGACTCTTGTCACTATTCCTAACGATGGACAATAGCGCATCCAGTGCTTCAATTTTGTGGACATGTTACCGTAAGCTAGAGTACCGTGCGGAATTAAAAACGCACATAAAAGTTAGTCAGTGCGACATTATAAGAGGGAACGAACTACTAAATCTGATACGGGGCACTCCATGGGGCACTCCATGAATCAGGGAACAAGCTGATTCGGTGGCAAGCGACAGAGTGCGTGATTCTGAAATATTAACGACTTTCCATCGATCGGATAAAGTGGCGTGCCATCGACCCATTTGGAGCGTACCAGTTACGGCACCCTATTTGAAGATTCGAAGTAAGAAAGTCAATCGTTAAAGTGTTGGAGTGAGAGACACCATTTCGGACACAGCCTCATTGATCTGAAGCATCGTATGCTTCAAAACGAATGGTGCTCGCATGTTTGCGAAACGGACCGGGTACTCCAGAAATTGAACGCCCGTGACGGATTTAGGTAGAGCACACAAGTCAGATGCAATTCGCCACTGAGTATTCGAGTCAAGACACTACTAATAACAATGTGTCGGAGAGCGAAGTAACCCAGCAGGTTTTACAGAAAATAAGCTGGTGAAACAGGCGCACGTTCAAAACGGATCTGGCGTTTTCGGTTCTACGAGTCTTCGCAATCCAGTAACGCTCCTAGTTAATTCCGAGATCTATTCAAATGCCGCCGCTGTGGGTTGGGGACACTCCGAAGCCAACGCCTCAGCAGAGCCAAAAATCTAACCGCTAGGTAAACAAGAGACTTTGGATGTCACGAACATTTGAAGCGAATCCAAATGGTCTTGGATCGGTATCCTCTTTTCGACTGTGATCAGTGACGGCGCACTATAAAATGAAAACGGTGCTACGCGAACCAGTACAGCTGATAAGTAAGTTAACATCGAAGCTGAAAGAATGGGTGATAGGCGGTGGCGAATGGGTATGTAACCAGGATCTGTCTGGTCAACCAGTAACACCGCACCTACAGACGCCGCGGCCAGCCTCATATCTATACTAATATGAGCGCTTCATCAATATGGCGTGGAAAGTGGAGAGGAGTGAAGCAAAACCCATGTACTTTGATTACAAATTAATGATAATGGTGTCTACACTTTGCCAACAACACATAGTCGCATGCAGATGGATTTTGTGAAAAAAAGCGGCAGCAGTGAGACGGATGTCGTGGCTTTCACTGTAACGCTTCCTAAGCTAAAAGAAAAGCAAGTAATATAACGCTACGCATCATACTATGCATCAAATATACGATCGTGGTTGGAAGTGGAAGTTTAAGATGTGGGAGATAGGTCACCTCATCACCGTCAATTAGTGTCTCCAACCAAAAGTGCTCATCGATCTTCGGACCCCAGCCCGACAGTCGGGAAACATCAAATGATGCTATCTTCGAAGTGAGGGACTTCATTCCTCCCGACCAAATCGATACTTGACCTCCTCTCCTCTTACAACCCCACCCCGGCAGTGCAGAAGACGAAGAACGCGAGAGTCGGTGTGCTGGCATGCGCAACAAAGTTTGAAGCCATCGGAGCCTGGTGCGTGAAATAACGGTGCTGAGCGATTAACTAGCTCTTCCTGCCAAAATACGAGGCGCCGAAGAAATTCATTACTTACGCCGTGCTCGCATCAGACGAGCCATGCTGCGAAGGGAGCGATGGTCAAACGTAACAAGTCTGTCGACTTGACGGGCCAAGTTTCACGACCGTATAGGAGGGCTGAACGGACGGCTGCCTCGTAAACGCTGACCTTCAAAACGAAAGTGATGGCACACCGGCGTCACAAGTGGCGGAGATTGGCAAAAGCGCATCGATCTTTTGCTATGCGGTTCGTGATCTCATTTTCAATCTCATGGGCGTTAATATAGCCGCCCAGATAGTTGAATTTCCGGAGGACTTTTAACTGTTCATCATCAAGGATCAGCGCATGGATGAGACCCTATCAATCTTGGAGAACTTGACATTTCGAATGTGCAAAGCACAGCTTGAAACCAATGACAACTAGAGCTAATTTACCCAGTGTAGTTTCGCGCGTTCGGAAGCAGTCAGACATAAAGGCAAAGTTGGCGGCTTACACCAATTCATAAGTCGCCCAACAGGAAGCAGCTCAACACCTGGAAGGACTTGTCCAGCGAACGCTCTTGCAATACTTCATCAATGGCGAAGTTAAAAACTTGAAAGCAGGATACCTTGTCTCACACTGCAGGCGAGAATATGCGATAAGGCTTCAACGCCCGAACTATACGTGTACAGCGCTCTTATAAGGTCTACATGTTTATCAGGTACACTCCTCAGTAGACAATCTCAAACGGTACAACGAGCAACAGAATCAGAGCCCCCTTCTGGGTCGCCAATAAACAACTAACGTAACATGAACATGTGGTTAATGCACCCTCGATTTCGATGAAGCCCGGCCTTCACGGATGCCACTCAGCCTATGGAAGACGACAAAGCCAAGCAACTTAGAGTCAATAGATATCAGACAGATTCCTGTAACCGCCGCATTCTGAACGGCAGGCCCCCTAAAATTTGGGACTATAACGGAGCGGCTCCAGTCTGTTCGGAAAGTCTCATATGACCATAGATTCACTAATAACTTACGCAAATGGTCCAAAAGTGCAGTTGCCCCGAATTTGAAGAGGGCCGGATGTAGTCCATCAGCTTCAACTGCCTTGCTCTAGTTCATCCGTCTTATCTCATGTTAGGTTACTGCGCGTAAAGCCGAAACCAAGAGGGGAGCCCAGGAAGAAGGGTCATCAATGGCCGGTGGCAGGCAAATCTGATTGATTAAATTGTATCTCAAAGTGTTCGGCCCAAGGCTCTGAGCACTTTGACAGGCTGTGGATCAGCTGTCCACTCTCGTCGCGTATGGTCTCGCTAACACCATGTCTCCCGCTTCTCGTTTCGGCATAAGATGGAATAACTTCCGATGGTTACCCAGGGCAGCGGTTGTCTCCATCTCCCAGGCACGATGAGACCATTACGCTCCACCATCTCTTCTCAGGGTATTACGCAGTTCCGCCTTAAAAACTTAGCGAGTCTCATTGTATTCGCTTCCAGCCGGAACACGTCGGCAAGTATCCAGAAGTTCTACAGACTGGGTAGAGACAAAATGTTTAGGTTGGCAATTCGATTTGCTACATAAAGACATGCCTGTTGCTAACAATATCTAGTGGCTGTGCGACCAGTGATCTACAACGGTGTTCAGTGAGAGTTTACTGAGGTGATGTCACAGCGAACTTTGACACGTAATCAGGACATGCGGCTTCGCCGGTTGGCGCTCCCAGCGCCCTTGCGGACGTCCACCGAAACGCACCAGCAGGTTGGCGCAAGCAAGTGCATGATCAGAGTCCACGCTCGTAGTCCAAATCGAGCAACATTTTTGAACGAATACTCACCAGCGGTAATTGATCGCAAGGTGATCTATTTGCGTCCATGACTGGTGGACATCACGTCACCCTTCTGTGTGGCTGGTGTCGGGACCTAGTGCTCGCAAGGAAGGGACAAGAATCTTCACACGGATGTAGCACCGCTCACTATTATCATTACGGGAGCGTACATCGTGTTGGCCAACCAGATGAAGCTCACGAGCGTTTTCCAACATGGGCGTTCAAGTCACCGGCAGGCACCACAGTGTCTGCACATTTTGTGATGAAGGAGCGCGTTCAATTGGCGATAGAAGTTGTCCTTCATGAAGTCAGCGATACAATTTGTGGGCGCGTACGCCGCAATGACAAGCGACTACGAAT